CTTTCTTTCCCTTTTTGACTAAAGTGTAGGGATTTGGAGATGATGACATGTCATGGCTATTTGATAGGTTCTAAGTGTTGAAGATGAAGACTTGGTGAGTCCTCATAGATTCGAGGACAATACCCAATATATTCTTTTATGTCTTTTTAGTATTGTTTAAGTTGTGTACGGGATTAGTCCCGAATTTTGTACTCTAAAGTATTAGATGGTTATGAGACATCATGTATAAAGTCTAGAAAGTCTTCCGCTTGCTTTATATATATTTTTTAGAAATGTTTTCTTGGTAAAGAATGTTTTTAATTCCTTATGGTTTTAGTGTCTATGCGATGAATGAATTGCTAAGAGGCTTGTATTAGACCTTTTTGAGGTCGAGTACGCCGGTTACGACTAGGGGGTGATCCCGGGTCGTGACAGGTTGAATATTGTGTCGACAACTTTTATGAGCTTGATGAATGGTGTGTTTAAGCCATTCTTGGATTCAATTGTGATCGTGTTTATAGATGACATATTAATCTACTCCAAGAGTAAGGATGAATATGCAGATCACCTTATAATTTCTTTGGGTATCTTGGGGAAACATAAGTTGTATGTGATACTTTCCAACTTTGAATTATGGTTGTCTTCGATTGCCTTCTTAGGGAATGTTGTCTCGAAATATGTGGTAACAGTAGATCCCCAGAAAATTGAGGTAGTCGAGAATTGGGTCTGGCCTAGCTCTGTGATAGGGATTACGAGTTTTGTGGGTCTTTCCAACTACTACCATAGGTTTGTTAAGAAATTTGGTTCGATTGTTATGTATCTGACCAGATTGACCCAAAAGGAGGTGCCATTTGAGTGGTCTAACAAATGTGAAGAGAGTTTTCGAAAAATCAAGACCCTTTTGACTATAGTTCCTATTCCAATTCATTGTCGGTAGAGGGTAAGGATTTTATTATTTATTGTGATGTTTCACATTCAAGTTTGGGTGTTGTGTTGATGCAGGACATGAATGTCATATCATATGCTTTCGGGTAATTAAAGGTTCATGAGAGGAACTATGTCATCCATGATTTAGAGTTGGCTTCAGTAGTGTCTGCTCTTAAGATTTGGTGACATTATCTTCATGGTGCCAAGTGTGAGGTGTTTAAAAATCATCACAGCTTACAACATGTGTTCATATATAAAGATTTAAATCCAAGGTGGAGAAGGTGGATGGAGTGTTTAAAGGATTATGAGGCGACCATTCAATACCATCTAGGTAAGGCAAAGTGATGACACACACATTGAACCGAAAGACAATTAGCATGGGAAGTATGGCTTGCTTGGGGTGTCGAAGCGACCCTTAGCTAGAGAGATTTGGTCTTTATAGTCTAATTCATATGGTTGGACATCTCAAATAAGAGTGGGGTGTTAGCTAGTATTGAGTTTAAGCCAACTTTTGTTGAGGAGATCAAGACTAAGTAATTCGAAGATGAGAATTTGAACAAGCTAAAAAACAAGGCAGTGTTATGGGAGGCTTAAAATGCCTCTCTCTATGCACATGGTATGCTTCGAGGGATGATCTATGTTCCTCGGGTTGGTGATTTGACTCAAAGTGTGTTGGCAGAGTCTCATGGTTTGCAATATTCGATTTATACGATGGCAACCAATATGTATCGTGATTTGAGGCAGCTTTATTAATGTCCTGGAATTAAGAAGGATATCATTGAATACGTATCCAAGTGTCAGAACTGTCAGTAGGTAAAGTATGAGCATCAAAGGCCTAATAGCTTACTTCAGAGAATGCTCATTCCGAAGTTGAAGTAGGAAAGTATAGCCATGCATGCCATGGTAGGACTTCCTAAGACTACCAGAAAGTATGAGTCAATTTGGGTCATTATTGACAGCTTGACTAAATCAACCTATTTCATTCCGGTTAGAGTGGATTATAACTCTTAACCGTTGGCAAAGATTTATGTTTAGGATATTGTAAGGTTGCATGGTGTGCCCTCTCTCTATCATTTCAGACGGTGGCACTCGATTTACTTCTATGTTATGGGGTAAGTTGTATGAAGCATTGGGAACTCAACTCACTATCACTATAGCCTTTCATCCGTAGACATTGGTTAGTCGGAGAGGACGATTCAAGTATTGAAGGACATGTTGAGAGCATGTGTAATTGACTTTGGAGGTCATTGGGTCAACTCTTGCCTTTATATGAGTTCTCCTACAACATGACAGGTATCACTCCAACATAGAAATGGCACCATTCGAGGAACTCTATGAGAGAGGATGCAGATCGCCTATAGGGTGGTTTGAAACTAGTGATATGAAACCTTTGAGAGTGGATTTGGTAAGGAAAGGTCAAGAGAAGGTAAAGAACATCCAAACCAAGTTGTTGGCAACTCAGAACAGACAAAAAAAGTATGTAGACCATACGGTAAGAGACATGACCTTTCAGGTTTGTGAACAAGTTTTGTTGAAGGTGTCACAAATGAAAGAGGTGATAAGATTTGGCAAGAAGGGTAATCTTAGCCCTTGTTACATTGGTCCGTTCTAGATTCTCGATAGTGTGGGGCTAGTGGCTTACATGATAGCACAACCACCCAACTTGTCCGGAGTTCATCCAGTCTTCCATGTGTCTATGCTAAAGAAGTACCATGGGAATGGAGACTATATCATCAATTGGGACTCGATAGCATTAGACAAGGACTTGTAGTATAAGGAGAAACCGATCGCGATTCTTGATCAGAATGTCCGGAAGTTGAGGACAAAAGAGATCAAATCAGTAAAGATTTCGTGGAAGCCTTGTCCATTGAGAAGCCTACCTGGGAGACCGAGAGGGACATGCAAGACAAGTACCCTCACTTGTTTTCGGATTCAGATATACACTATTTCCTGACTTAACCCAACTTTTTTCTTATTGAATTGCTCGGGAACGAGCTATGGGTAAATCAGTATATGTTGTAAAAACCCCTTTTGGTCATTATGGGTAGACCAATGGTTAAATTTTGGGCCAAAAAACTTTTTGAGTAGTAACTTGTAAATCATAGACTAGGCCAGTCTCAATGAAATATTAGGAAGGTGAGGTCTAGGGTAATCCGGGAAGGAATTAATGATAATGCCTATGCTTGGGTGGGGTTTTCTATTAGCTGAGACATTAAGGAATTCATGGGTATTTTCATAAGTGAATTCGGGTGAGTAGAACTACCGATATCGAACTTGGTGTTAAAAGGTTATTTTTGAACTCCAAGGTTCGAGATTATGTTGCGAAATAGGGGATTTAGGGATCTGAGCTACTGCCTCTGTGTTAACCCACTATAGCGGGTGTCTCGCCGCTAAAGCGAAGGAAATTAATTCCCGTTATAGCGGTTGGTACCTCTATATCAGATGGTCCCTCTATGGCGAGGCCACTATAGCGGGTTGGGTTTCTATAGAGAGGTAGGTCGGGTTTTTATGCAGAGAAGTTTCAAAACCAATCATTATTTGGTTATCTCATTTTGGGAAACTGCAGAGGCGACGTAGGGTATTTTTCACCTATTTTCCATCGTTCTTTTCGATAAAAATAAGATTAATTTTTCCCTTAACTTGTGATTCGGTTCTTGATCCATAGAATCTAGAGTGTTACTCTTGGGGGATGGTTTTAATTTGAATTAATGGTGGGAAAAAGCCATGGCTAGGTGGAATGATAATGTAATTGGCCTAATGGTTAGGATCCGAGTATAATTCGGGTATTGTTAGGCCATTGGTCATTGATTATTGTCTATTTTATTGTTTTAGACCAAGAACAAGCCAAGACATTCCAAAAAAGGAAAGCTCTGGTCCTTAGAGTTTTCAAGGCTTGATTCGAGGTAGGTGATGGTTGTTTGTTTCTAGTGTATGTAATGTTTGCATGTTAACTGCTTTATAGTAATACTTGTGCAATGAATGCGGGAGATACTCAAGGAGTGAATACATCATGTTGATAATCTCATGCAATGAACCAATTTATTTTACTTGTGGCTTCAAGTGTGGTCGTTCATTTTGAGTGTGATTGTGCATGTTGTTTGTGATTGCTGGTTGTCTCGGGTACCACTCTTGGTACGAAATATCATATCGTTGGCTCGGGTACCACGCTGGTACACTAACAATGGCTGGCTCAGGTACCACACCGGTAGACTAACAATTTGTGTGTAGATTCCATGAGAGAACTGGTATATGCTATTGTGATCATATGGGACATGCTTCATGTGTTTTTAAGTCAAGATTTGTGACTAGAAGTCTATATCTATTGTGACTTGTTGATATAGATGTTGGCTTGCATTACTGTATTTTGGCTTCCTGCTTACATCCATATCTTAGATGGATGGAGCATTGACATAACAAAATAGTGGCTAGCTAGTTGTGCTGCTTTTATATGGATGGAGAATGGACAAAACAATTTATGTCGTTGCTACGCAATCTAAGATTATTCGATTGGGTAATAGATTAATGTTATAGTTATTCATGCATGATTTATAAACAAAGACTACCCGAAACAAATACTTTATTTTACCCAACGAAAATGAAACCTAAGAAATTAAACACCTCACGATAGAACAAATTTCAATCATTCGCAACCAAATTGACAAACTATGCATTCAAAACACTATTAGCCCAAAGTGTGACACGAAAACCATACAAATCATCCTAACAAAAAACGAAGCTAGCTAGCTAGTATCATCTTGTGTATCCAATAAAGGTCATGGATACAAGATCACTAGTACATTATTCCACAAATGATCATATTATAGTATAATATTTGTTCTAAGAAGTTAAGACTCTATGAATTACATTAAGGAATTCTTGATGAGCAGTGAGCTGCGGGAAATGGCCATTAGTGTTGATGATCTCAACAGTGGATTCTCCCTTGATAGTGTTGTGCATGAAGGTGGGAACCGAGTTTGGAACAGCAAAATCAACCTTGGTTTGAATTATGGTACATGGGGTAATCACCTTATCAAGAATGTGTCTATAATCACTTAGGAAAACACTTTTGGCTAAAGGTAATGCAATTTCAACTCCCATTCTTTTCAAGCATTTATCAAATTTGTCAACAGAAGGAGGATCACTTGAATCCACAGCTATACTAGCAAAATTTGTACTCCAAACATCATACTTTTCCTCAATGTTTCTAAACATCTCTTCCATCTCTGCTATGTCGAAACCTCCCTCGTAATCCTCCACGTTAATGAACCTGCACGATTCAAAATTAAAATGGCATAATTACGAGAGTAGATCGGAATCGTTTGGTGTGAGAAACAAGAATAAAAAGTCTTGGGATAAAAAAAAAATAGTCATTGTCTAGTTTGGATAACTTATTCCATTATTTATACCATAGTGATTGGATAAGTTATCTCATATACATGGTGGAATAAATTGTCCTAGAATAATTAATCCTGGGATAACTTTCAGATTTTTTTGAAACAATTTGTTTTAAAATTTGTAGAAAGAAAGAACTTTAAAGACTTTTGACACATACTAAAATTACAATTTATGATATTTCTGTAGGAATAAAAGTATCAAAAGAGTAAAATAAAAAGTTAAAAATTAAATAAGTTTCAAATGCATTATATTTATCATTCTTTTTTTCAATTAACTAAAAAAAAATATCATCTAAAATGAAACAAGGAATAGAAAGAGGAGATTAGGATAAGTGGGTCCTAATTTATTTATTGGTATAGATGCGTTCAAAGCGAACAAAGAAGGAAATGAAAAATCCAGTACTAATAATAACTCTGTACCAAGTGACAAATAAAGGGAGTAGTATTAATAGTTGTCCAATAATATTTATCTAATTTCGATAATCAAGAGATAATTTACCTTTTGTATCTATTTAATCCTTGCAATTAAATATTATTTATCATCTAATATATTTTTCAAAACATTAAATTTAATGAAGTCAAAGAATAAGATTACCCTTATCATTTATTGTTTCTTAAAGATCGTGTCAAGTCAATAGTGCACAACTATTATTAAACACATGAAAAAGAGTAAAGAAGAAGTAAGAAATTAAAGTGTGAAAGAGTTTAGTAAGAAGAGAAAAGAAGTATAACCTTGGAGAAGATGAAACAAGGATGAGCCTTTTAAAGAGTGTTGGTCTTTTGATAGAAGCAATGCAACCAATGATGCCAGACATGGAATGACCAACAAATATAAAAGATTCCAACTTCATTTCATCAACAAGAGCTATCAAGTCATCAGCAAAAGGTTCATAGGAAGAGTATTTTTCAGCATCAAAATGATGTTTTAATAGATTAGCACCAGAAAAACACCAGTCAAACAAAACAATCTTGTAAGACTCACATAATTTGGGCAATATTTTATCCCAAATTGATTGATCTCCTCCATATCCATGTGCTAGAATTATTGTTTCTTTTCCTGACCCTATTATTCTTCCATTCATATTTCTTAATAAATCCAATATCACCATTTTCTACTTATTGCTATTATAGCTACTTACTATATATTTTTATATATAGCAAAGGAAGAGGTTTATTGGCCGGCCAACACCATATAATGCAACATATTGATTAGTGGGTGCGGCCGGCTCTTTGATATAGACATCATTCATTATATTATGGGAAAAAGGAAAAAAATTAATATGGTTGAGGTCCAACCAACAATAGTTGTGTGAGGCTCCATTTAATTTTTGATACTTGGATTTGTGGGTCCCATTTTAACACCACACACTCTCTCACCTTCATTTTTTCAAATTCCTCCCTTTTCCTCGTAATAAGTATTTACCTCTTTTTTTTAATAATCTTAAATTTTTATTTTCCAAAAGTCAAATAGAAATATGTAAATTAATATCAATTCAAGTTTTAGCCTTTTTTCCCCGTGATTGCTAATATGATTAAAAAATTGAACTCCATTATAATTATAGTCTTCTTTTCTTGATTTATATATTTTTTTGGTTTATTTTTTAGACTTTTAACTTAAATTTTAATAATAAGTGCAACACCAAGTACAAAATATTTCTAAAAAAAATTGAAGAACGAGTGATTTTAGAATACTTATAGGTATGTTCTCACTTACTCATTGGTGAACTTTTTTTCGGTATAATTTTCTTAAAATTTTTAGTTCTGATTGATGACAGTTGAATTAACTAATAATGAATAATTAAAGGACTAAAAACAAGTGATTTTGAACATAAAATCAATTTTTAAAATCATCATAATAAAATTACAAATCAAACTAGAAAGTGAAAAAATAGAATTAAATTTATAAAAAGATAACTAGATTACAAATAAAAAAAGTAAAAATTTAAATTTAGACAAAATACACACACAATATATATATATTTATATATTTAAAGAGGGAGATATTTTTATAATCAGTTTGGTGGTTTTTCAATTTATTTTTACTTTGAAACCAAAACTGATTATGTCAAATTTTTTAAAAATAAATTGAAGTAAAAGAAATATTCAATTTGACTAAATTTTTATTTAGTTCGATTTTTTGATATTCAGTGAATACTTCTTAATACAAATATAAAGTAGTGTGTGAATTTCTTCATTCAAAATTTATCTTTTAAAGGCATCTTAGGAATTTGATTCAATTTTTTGAGATGTAAAATAAAAAATTTAAAAGATTGTTTTTTCTAAGGCTACGAGCAATAATTATATTTTAGTTGAATTGGTTGAGAGGTGGCAATTTTTAAATTGATTTAGTTGAGGACAAAAATGATTAATGGGAAAGAAAGAGCTAATCAAGTTACTAATTAATAAAGAGCACAAAGAATTAAAAAAAAACTGTGAAAAAGAGAGGAATATTGAACAAGGAGCTAAAATATTTTGGAGGGAAAAGGGGCAATTTGGGAAAAAATAAGATGAGAGAGTGTGTGGTGTTAAAATGAGGCCCACAAATCCAAGTGTCAAAAATTGAATGGAGCCTCACACAACTGTTGTTGGTTGGGCCTCAACCATATTAAAAATTTTCGGGAAAAAGGATAAATATACCCCCGAGCTATCGTAAATGGTATGCAGATATCCTCCATCATATTTTGGGACATTGGTGCCCCTACCGTCAAAAAGCTAGAGCATATATACCAGTTAGAGTGAAGGGCATATATGCTCTAGTTTTTGGACGGCATGAACATCAATATCCCAAAAGTATGACAGAGGGTAACTGCACACCATTTACGTCAGTTCGGGGGTATATTTGTCCTTTTACTCCCATGAGTCCTAGAGGCGGAGTCAAGATTAAGAGTTTGTGGATTCTAAATTTTCTTTTAAGAAAAAGAGAGGGGTTTACAATTCTAGCGTGAAAGGCATTTCTAGGGTCTCTTCCTTACCACTGAACCGTCAATTAATTTTGTTAGGGGTTCACAAGTTAATATACATATATATATTTATTTAATTTTTTAGTACAAATACATGATCTACGAAAAAGCTACTGGGTTCGTCCGAACCCCCACCTAGCTCTGCCTCTGCTCTGTCCTAATTTATGTGGCATGTTTCGAATATTGAGATTCAAACAAGTCTATCTTTGATGATAATTTTTTTATATATATTTTGGATTGTCAATTATTATGACTTATAGTAGTTTTTACGTAGTTTACAAATATATAAATTTTATTTTAAAAAATTGAAGATTTATGTGCAAAGTTTTGGACAAACTTAAACTGTTTGACTCTAAAAAAAAGGAAATGTCTCACATAAATTGGGACAGAAAGAGTATTATATAAGTGAGTGGTAGGTAAATATGACAATATAGCTTATCTACTAAACGAATTTTTCTCTATATATTTATATTACTATATTATCATAAATGGTTGCTTTCGTTATAAATTCAAAAAGAGGACCATTTTAATTTCTACCTTTATGTCGAAACAAACGCAAGTACCACCTTCATATCATCTCATTCATTTACTTAATTAAGACATCATCTTTGATCTTTACTAACAAACAATATCATATACACCAAAATTTAAAATGTAAAATCTAAAATCAAGTGGAAAATATCATGTTGACCGGGTATAAATCAACAACCTTTGTCTATCTTGTCTCAACTATAGTCTATACCTAACCTTATGGTGTTATCCTTCATCAAAAATTTACTCTATCTATATGTATAATCTGAAAAATCAGAATATATACATGTACACACAGGGGATGATCTAAGAGTATGGGTGAGGGTGCCACGGCACCCAGTGATTTCGGAAAAATCTTTGTATATATATGTATATATGTATCAGAAATTAATATATATTAACTTTGCCACCCACTAAACAAAGTGATGAATGGTTCAAATGGTGAAGGGCCTGATATGCCATACGTGCAATGCGAGTTTGAATCTCCTTGCTAGCATTATTTTTTTGTGCGCGCAGTGAAGCTTTTTTTTTCTTTTCTTCTTTGTCTCTTTTATATTAATGTGTGAAGGGCTTTAGTTTTTTTTTCTTCCATTCATTATTATTTATTTACTATACTTTATTAATTCAAATTGACTCCTTTTCACCTTAGTTAATTCTTAGTTTTTTTTAACTTTCACTAATTATTGATAAATATTATTAAGAATGTATTTAAATAGTAGATTTTAAAAAATATAAGTTTTAAAAATGATGAATACTATTACTAGAGTTCTTTCAATTTAAAGATTCTTTCGATCTTCACCGACATTCTTGCTAAGTAAGATGACTAGGTTGAAACTACAATTTTATTCTCTCTACTATATAGCTGCAACAACACATAAAGTCAATGGAATATGAATATATTCAGTTAACACTATAAGATGGTTTATACAAGCTCAAATTTTAATGTGAAAAAAATTCTTTTTTCCTCAAAGTCTAAGTGAACAAGGTCCTTAATTCCTAATTTTTTTTTGAATTGTTTAGTTATCTCTAATCACAGAATATCTAAAAGAAAATATTACTAACATGCATGTTTGATCGATTTGTTTATAAAAATCGAAAAGGATAATAACCCGAATTGTAACACAAAATTAAAACAACCGACCCGTTTATCTAACTTGAACGATGTGACACCCAGGACCTCCAAATCCTAGATCCGCCTCTGTGTACACATATTATCAAAAGACACCACTTTGTACAAAGTGCTTCATGGTTAGCTAATTAAGGGGTCATTTGATAGCGTGTATTAGCAAAAATAGTTCATGTATTATGTATGATATTATTTAGTCCTATGTTTGATAGGAATTTTGAGTCTATGTATAACTAATACATGTATTTAGTTATACACCCAACATGATATTATAGAGTGTTATAACTAATACCTTTCATTTTGTGGTATTAGTAATACATACTATTTAATACCATGAGATTAATATATGTAAGGATAAAATTACCCTTCAAAATCATTTTAATCATTTTGTTTATTTTCTTGATTTATGTTTTTATTTATACTTGTAAATTTATTTAAATAAATTAGGTGATGAACTTTATTATTTAGACAGAGTTGTTTGTTGCTAAATAAATCAAATACAAATCAATACAATATTTGAAATGTGAGTTGTTAAACATTTTCTAATTGAAAAGGCAAATACATCACCACATGACATTTGTGATATTAATTGAATGTATTATTTGTTGAACAATCTATAATATTGCATACATATTAAAACTACAACTTACAAATTTTATTGTGTAAAGGTAGATGGTTATTCGATTTTACTATTGTTTATCGTCTTTTCAATTTTAAAAGTAGATGATCTATCTTTTTTAAATTAAAAATTGACGTTATGTGAGTGATCAATTACTAATAACAATTATTTAACCTCAAAAATTCATGTGAAAAAATAGCAAACATGGAGACAAAAATGTTCTTCTCCTAGCTAGTTATTAGAAGGCCACAAAAAAAAAATCATCCCGAAATTATCTATCTTGACCAAATTACATAAAATAGAAAACCCCATAATAATTCAAGGATATAAATCAACAATCTTTGTCTATCTTGTCTCAACTATAGTCTATAGGGATCATGTGAAAGCTTTCGATATATACCTAACCTCATGACAAGTGATGCTATCCTTCTTAAAAAACTACTCTATCTATATATATTAAATATTTTGGATACCATTGCTTATTGAAATAAAATATGATAGGAAGGTGTGAGAATATATGATCGGGTTTTTCTCATTTACCAACAAAATTAAAAGAAGTTGGAGTTTAATTATCTTCTCCTTTTTCAAGTCAAATTGTATTTAGATTAATAATTTTTCAGGGCAATTTGATATTAAAGTGATCAAAATTTTGATTATGTCTCGCATTCGAGTTTCAATTTCCATAATTAGAAACGGAAGTCTCCAATAAACACCACTACGAGCAGATTCAATTGAGAAGAAACATATTTCAACTAATAATTTTTTTTAATATTAAATCACATGAAAAAATAAATCAAAAAAATCTGTCAAATTAAAAGATTTTGAATAATGCTAAACTCAATTACCAAAAAAGTTCATGATAATATTTTTAGTGTATCTCATAATAATAATACGAAGGAGTGACTTGATTTTTGTGGGATCTGTTAGTTTTATGAAAAAATCAAATAAAACGGTGAAAATTGTTAATTTTTAA